ATCTGATGGTTTACTTGCCTCTATTTCATTTAATTCTCTTTCTGGGGATTCCTGCTTCCCCTTTGAGTGGGCGGTATTTCTTTGTCTTCCCATTATTCGTGAGACTCTTCTTTTCTGTTTCTGCTTCTTGAGTTGACTTTCTTGATATCCTGACTTTGAGATGTGAACTTCTATGGTAGGAGACTGCTGATTTTACTTTCTGCATCTGCCTCTGCTGTCAGATGTTGATCCTGTGTGACCTTAGGCAGTCTGTTCAAGACTTCCAGGGATCTACTGTCTGTGGCTGTCTCCTTCAGCAGTTAATCTAGTCACTCTGCACTCAGCAGTCTGGCTTAGACAGCTCAGGGCCGGGCGGAGTCCCTCCAGGGGTCGGGGTTATTGGGTCCTCTCACACTGCTGCCATATGGGGGAGGAGTCAGCACCAGGATACCGCTGGCTACTCTCTCTGTTCTCTCCCCAAAGCCCAGTCTCCCCTCAAGTGTCTCCAGACCAGTCTGTGCCCCCTTTAGCCAGGGATCTACTGCCTGTGGCTGCCACTCTGCACTCAGCAGGCAGCTTAGACAGCACAGGGCGGAGCGGAATCCCACCTGGGGGTGGGGCTATTGGGTCCTCAGATGCTGCTGCTGCTCAGGGGGGAGGGGTCTCTTCCTGAGCAAATACACTGCTGCTGCTTGGGGGATGAGTCAGCACCGAGATCCCGCCAACCACTCTCCCGGTTCTCTCCCCAAAGCCTCCTTCCCCAGTCTCTCTTCAGGTGTCTCTAGCCCACTCTGCCCCTGCCTTTTCCAGAGACCAGGGTAAGTGGCTGCAAACACAAATTTATGTGTTGGCCCTTTAAACTGTTCTTTGTGTCTCGAACCGCCTGTCTCTGACAAAGAGCAACCCTGCCACTTTCCGCAGCTGGCTGTTTTCTGTGTACTTTTTGGGCTCTGGTGCGGTGGGCTAGAGATCCCCACTTTTGGTTTAGGCTCTTCTCAGGGTGATCCAACTGGCCATTTCAATATCCTTCTGGTGCTGCCACCTGTGGACGCCCTGCCCGCCTTCTTGAGTCTACCGCACTCCTTACCAGTTAGGTTGTGCTAAAGCCAATTCTCTTGTCTGTCTGAGGTTACAAGGCTCCTCTCTCCCTATTTTCAGTTTTTTATTCCAGGTGCTTTCTCCACAATTTAGTTGTAATTCCAGGTTGCTCCTGGAAGGAAGTCACAGGGCGGGGCAGAGTTCCTCCTGGGGGCAGGGCTATTTTGTCTTCTCACGCTGTTGCCACTCAGGGCAGTGGTCTTCCTGAGCAAGATGGCTGCTGCCATATGGGAGATGAGTCAGCACCAGGATCTTGACAGCCACTCTCTCTGTTCTCCCCACAAAGCCTCCTTCCCCAGTCTCTCCCCAGGCATCTCCAGCCCACTCTGCTCCCACCTTTGCCAGAGACCAGGGTAAGTGGCTGCAAATAAAAATGTATGCATTGGCCCTTTAAATGGCTCTTTGCATCTCCAGCTGCCTGGCAGAGAGTAATCCTGCCGCTTTTCACAGATGGATGTTATCTGTGTACTTTTTGGCTCTGGTGCTGTAGGCTGGAGATCCCTGCTTATGGTTTAGATTCTGCTCTTCTCAGGGGGATCCAACTGGCTGTTTCAATATCCTTCTGGTGCTGCCACCTGTGGGCACCCCTCCTGCCCTCTCAAGTCTCTACTGCACTCCTTACCAGTTATGATGGGTTAAAGCTGATTCTTCTGTCTGTCCGAGGTTATAAGGCACCTCTCTTGCTATATTGTTCAGTTGTTTGTTTCAGGTGGTTTCTCCACAATTTAGTTGTAATTCCAGATTGGTCCTGGGGGTAGGTCAGTTTGACTTCCACTCACTTCTCCATCTTGATTCTCCTGAACCATCTTTAAAGCATTTGTGCCACATTTTATTTGCTCTGCGCTCATTACATCATCCCCAAAAACTTTCTGAATCATCTGAACAGTTTCTGTGGAGGAATTTTTGCTTAAGCAAAATTTGATACAGATTTGTTGTTTTACTAGCTCGGTCATTTTGAATGCCACTGCCACAGAGTACATATGCTCACTCCACGTTGTCTATTGGCCCCACTGACTAAACAGTGAAGCCATCATTGTTCTTATATGTGCATTCCACTCCACTCTCCTTGGCTGCCAGGTTACATCAATGTTGCTCAACCCATTCTTGTTATATTAACAACGGATGGAGTTTTTCTGGATGAACCTTGTATTTTACCTGATAGAAGTATTGCTACCTAACTTTCTTTTCATTTCTATTTTGATGGAATACATTTCTTTCATCCCTTCTCTTTAAGTCCATGTGTGAGTTTTTCAGTATGAAATGAGCCTCTTGTTGGCAACATATAGATGAGTCTTCTTTCTATCCATTCAGTCACCCTGTGTCTTTTGACAGGAAAATTTAGGATATTTACAATTAAAGTAATTATTGCTAGGTATGTACTGGTTTCCATTTGTTGTTTTTTGGTTGCTTTTGTAATTCTTTATTCCTTTCTTCTTCTTATGGTTTCTTCCCTTGAGGCTTGCCAGTTTTCCTTACTGTTTTGTTTTGGTTCCTTCTCTTTATTTATTTACTTTTTTGTACGCATTTTGTAGGTTTTGGGTTTGTGGTTACCAGAGGTTCATGTGTATCAGTCTATATGTACAATGGTCTATTTTAAACTGATAGGTGTTTAAGTTCAAATGCACTCTAAAAGCACTACATGTTTACTTTTCTTTTCGTGTTTTGTTTTTGGTGTCATATTTTAGATATTTTTGTTTTGTGTATCCATGACTGCTCATTGTATTTATAATTGATTTTGCTACTTTTTTCTTTTAACTTTCATACTAGCTTTTTAAATAGCTAATTCACAGTGTTTACTATATTTGCCTTTACCAGTGAGATTTTTTTCATATATCTTCTTATTTCTTGTTACGGTCTTTTCTTTTCTGCATAAAGAAAACCCTTTAGCCCTGGCTGATGTGGCTCAGTGGATTGAGCACCGGCCTGCAAACCAAGGGGTCACTGGTTTGATTCCCAGTCAGGACACATGCCTGGGTCGCAGGCTAGGTCCCCAGTAGGCAGCACGTGAGAGAAACACATGATGTTTCCCTCTCTTTCTCCTCTCTCTAAAAATAAATAAATAAAATCTTTAAAAAAAAAAAGAAAAGAAAACCCTTTAGACCCTGGCCAGGTAGCTCAGTTGGTTAGAGCATTGTCCCAATATGCCAAGGCTGTGGGTTTAATCCTGCTCAGGGCACATGCAAGAATCAACCAATTTATGCTCCAATGAGTGGAACAACAAATCAATGTTTCTCTCTCTCTAAAATCACTAAATAAAAAAATTTAAAAATAAAGACACCCTGTAACATTTTTTGTAAAGATGGTTTAGTGGTTATGAACTCCTTTTGTTTTTACTTGTCTGGGAATCAGTGGATAATGTCTTTTCAATCATCAGTGCTTGAAAAATTAGTTTCATATGCAAAAACAAAAACAAAAAACCTCTCAATCTGGAGCTCACACTCTACAACAAAGAATCGTGTACCTAAATATTTTTATGAATACTGACAAAGCTTTCCCTGAACCTTGTTTCATGGAATTAGGGAAGTCAGAGAGCAGGAATAGAGAGAGGAGTATGTGGACCAGATTGGAGATGAGACACTATTAGGTTGCATCTATTAAAACTGCTTGAAGTCAGTGCAGAGTTGGTTACTGTAGCTATAGCTGGATTAAGAGGTGAGGCTAAAGAATGGAGAATGGTACACAAAAAGTGTCCCAGGAGTGCCTCTCCCAGTGGATGTAACAATAGTTTCCTTGAAACAGAAGTTCAGTGGGAAACTTGGACATTTTGTAGTTCTTATGTGAACCAACAGACAAAGACCAGGGTTGTGATTCTGCCTGGGTCAGTGATTTTGATTACCAAGGGAAAACTGGGATACTCTACACAAATAGGTCAAAGAGGAATATGTGTGAAATTCTGTGGAATTCACTTGTTACAACTTAGTATTGCCACGTTTAATTATAAATGTTAATGAAACCTAAAACCAATAAAGGCAGGATCAGTGAAGATGCAGATTCCCTAGAAATGAAGGTTTGCATAATATCACTATGTCAAGAACCCCATCCAGCTGAGATGTTGGCTGAGGAGAACGTGGAATGTGAGGTGAAAGAAGGAGTTACAAATGCCACCCATGGCCTTGTGATCAACTGCAACATAAGAACTGGAGACTAGGAGTTAGTCTGGCACATCTGTACAGTGGTAGAGATGATGGTGGTAACAGGTATATTAAGGTTTTCTTAGAGAGTTTAGGAGATAGAAATACCTCAGTGAGATTCACATTTGATTTCCTTTTTGATCTAGGGTTGAGAAAGATTGGACATGAACTGGGAGAGTTTACCTTTTCTTTTATTCTCATCTCTTCCATATACCTGCATATGGTTGGGTCATAGAGATCTAATCCTTGTTAGCTGCAGTTGTATCTCTCCCCTTGGGTATATTTATGGGGAATTGAGGTGTGGTGAGAGATTCTACCACACTGAGGATCTTTCCAAAATATGTACCTTTGTTGGCACTATGCTTAAAGAACACCGATTGCTTCTAATTGCCCACCAGGTAAGGTCTCCTATACTCCCAAGATAATTTTGGATATTTGAACTCTGGTTGGTGTCTGCTAGTTTTCAGGGCTTCTCCAACCATCTTCCTTCACCTCTGAAAATGTAGGCTTCTACCTTACAGGATTACTGTTTATTCCCTAATTAGACACCGTTTAAACATCCATACACGAGCTTCTCCACATTCTACTTCCTCCTGCCCCAAGTTTAGTCCAATGAGATCAGTGACTATAATCACTTTTTTAAAGATTCTGAGAGCATTTGTCCTGAGAGATCCTGGGTAATTACTTTGTCTTTGATGAATTCCTCCAGGATATAGCCTCCTCTGGGATCCAAGGCTCCTTAAGCTCCCAGATATGTAGAATGGGAGATGTGAGATGTTGCAGACAAAGGTGACAACTACAGAGGCTGTTACCTCACAGGCCTTAGTGAATAAATCGGAACAGGATCTCAGGCCGGGATCCTGGAATCACTCTCAGACAGACTGGGTAAGTTGGGCAGAGGACGAATGAGCTGGTCTCTTAGGGTTCTTGCAACCTGAGGTTCTTGTTATACCAAGTTGTGTGATGTTCTGCAGGGGAGTCTTCAGGCATGATATCCCTCCTTTTCTCTGCCTTTCATCCTTCTAAGACCTTCCTACATTCTAGAAGTATTTTGATATTTATCATTACAACATTTTTATTAAATTTATTGGAGTGACATTGGTTAATAAAATTATACAGGTTGCAGGTATACAATTATATAATACATCATCTGCATATTGTATCATGTGTAGACCACTGTAAATCAAGTCTTCTCATCGATACAATATTTTAATTAATGATAGCGTTCATAAATGTTACTTATTATAAAAATAAATTCCCCCCAAATTGTATGATTCCAATATAATGACAGCTTTTGACTTAGACTTTAATGCAGTATTTCTGAGTTCTTGCTTTATTTTATAATCACCTGAGAGCTTTAAAAAACTTTGCACAGGGCTTCTCTCAGAGATTGTGATTAAATTTATCTGAGGGCCTCAGTAATACTTATTTTTAAAAACTTAATATATCCTTGAAACTCATTCAGTAGTCTAAGGACTTTTGCATTGGTATTAGGTGAGTGTTGAATTAAAAGTAGCCACTTCTTACAGAAGCAGAATCGGGGTTTTCCTAGAACTCCCAGGTGATTCGCATGGACATTAATTTCAGAAGCACTGCCTAGGTGATTTTTCATGTGCCATCAGGCAGAGAACTACTGACTTAACGGGTGAAGAGGATGAGACGCTCATTGCATCATCAGTGGTAGCTCCTACAAGTCCCGTCTCCTGTTTGTCATCTCCAGGCATACTGCTGTCACAAGAGTTGACTCCCTTTAACTTACCTGGGAAGCAATGTTCAGAGAAACCAGGTATGTGAATTTCCCTGGGTGTTTTTCTCCACTGTATCACCTAGAGTCAAGTGTAAGAACTGTAAATGTGGCTGGATCAAACAGCGTCGGGGTGAAAATCCCAGCAACTGGACTCAGCTATGTCTTTATTGAAGGAGCTTCTCACAGCTCTTAGTGCTTCTTCCCTGCCTTCTCGGTCTGCTTCGAGGCACACTAAGGTGTCTTAGTCAGGGTGCTCCAGAGAAATAGATCCAATAGGATCTATCATCTATCTATCTATCTATCTATCTATCTATCTATCATCTATCATCAATCATCATCTATCTTTATCATCTGTACTAGTGACAAGAGTAGTGCCTCTAAGGTACCATAACATTTTCCATGGGCACAAAATTACATTAATAAATTCTATAATAAAGTGCCATATTTAGCGCTAAATGGTTGAGGGTAGAGATTTCTTTCTCTGGGAAAATTTAGTTGGAGTAGTGACTCTTACTTAAAAGGACTTCTGTTGCTTTTAAAGTTGGAGGAATGCATGTCTCAGCCTGAATCCAAGCCAATAAATATTTATGAAACATGGACCACATCGAGGTACTGTTCCAGGTGCAGTCATGAGCAGACACTGTCTTTCCTGTGTGAATCTTATGATCTCATAGGGGAGAGAGTTATGAACAAATAATCCCAATGGGATTGAGTTCTGTGGGGACAAACATAGGATACTGTGGAAACATAGCAGCTGGTTCTCACATGCTCTGGACAGAGAGAAAAGGAGCGAGGGCAGACCAGGTGAAGGAACAGAGGGAGTAAGGTACAAGGCAAGGGGAACAGCAAATGCACAAAGCTGAAGACTATGAATTGTGACATATAAGTCCTGCGCTGCTGGAGAGAGACATGGGAGTGTCCCTGTGGAGCCAGACGAAGCTGTGGAGGTAGGTAAGTGTCAGATCATGAAGCATATTTGGAAGGAATTTTTTGAGAGAAAATTTGCTTGTGTTTTAAGAGGAATGAGAATCCATGAAGGCTTTAGGAAGAATAATGATCTGGTTTTCATTTTAAAATTCCACAATGTCAAAAAAGGATATCAAAGGGAAATGTGTTCAAGTGTTCAAATATGGAAGCAGGGAGATGGATTAAGAGGCTGTTGCAGTGGCACAGGCAAGATATGGTGTCATCCCTGTCTAGGGTAGTGACAGTTCAGATGAGGAGTTGATGAGAAACAGAAATTGCATAGGACTTGTTGACAGACTGATGATGAGAGCAAGGAAAAATTAATGAAAACTCTCAGGTTATGACTGGAGAGCCTGGATCTCTCTTACTGAGATAAGGGAAATTAGAGGAGGAGGAGACTAGTAGAGGGGCTGGGTGAGATCTTGAATCCGCTTAGTATAAAATGTGTGTGATACATCCAAGGACAGATAATCATTGCACAAGTGGGTATGTAGTTTGTAAGTTAGAGTTGTCATCTGTAAGTTAGAGAGTCATCTACAATGAATTTTAAGTAATAATTGAAGCCTTTGGAATTGTTGGGTTTCTCTTAGTGGCGTATGTGGGCTTATAAGAGAATGGTGTTTAAGAAAAGCCCTGCAACATCAACAGGTAAGATAGAGACAGAGGAGGAGCCAATTACAGTTATGGAGGCTGTCTGCCCAGGCATGTGTGAGGAAACCAATACCTTTAGTGCCAGAAGCAAATAGATAAGAGTGTTTTAGAAAGGCTGGAATGTTTTTAGTTGTTAAAGAGAAATGAAGAATATGACATTTTCCACCATGAAGATTCAGATTATAGAAGTTTTGGGGATAGAGATTATGATTATTGTGATGAAAAGTGATATATTTTTGCAGATAAACTAACAACGTGCAGTATAAAATATGTTTATTTTAAATTAAGGTTTCAATGGACACTACTATTTCTTCCTAAAGATACTGGAGATGGCTGTGGAAGGAAGGAATCAAACTGTCATTACGGAGTTCCTTCTTCAGGGGCTTCCCATCCAGCCAGAGCAGAAAAACCTGTTCTACGCCCTGTTCCTGGCCATGTACCTTACCACCGTCCTGGGGAACCTCCTCATCATCATGCTCATTCAGCTGGACTCTCACCTCCAAACACCCATGTACTTCTTTCTCAGCAATTTGTCTTTCTCTGACCTCTGCTTCTCCTCAGTCACGATGCCCAAGTTGCTGAAAAACATGCAGAGTCAAGTTCCATCCATCCCCTATGCAGGCTGCTTGGCTCAAATGTACTTCTTCCTATTTTTTGGAGATCTGGAGAGCTTCCTCCTTGTGGCCATGGCCTATGACCGCTACGTGGCCATCTGCTTCCCCCTGCACTACACCACCATCATGAGCCCCAAGCTGTGTGTCTCCCTGGTGGTGTTGTCTTGGGTGCTGACCACACTGCATGCCCTGTTACACACTCTCCTCATGGCTAGACTGTGTTTCTGTGCTGACAATAAGATCCCCCACTTTTTCTGTGACATGTCTGCCCTGCTGAAGCTGTCCTGCTCTGACACTCGAGTTAATGAGTTGGTGATATTTATCACAGGAGGAATTATTCTCGTCCTCCCATTTCTGCTCATCATCATGTCCTACGCTCGGATTGTGTCCTCCATCCTCAAGGTCCCTTCTGCCAGAGGCATCCGCAAGGCCTTCTCCACCTGTGGCTCCCACCTGTCTGTAGTGTCTCTGTTCTATGGGACACTTATCACTCTCTATTTATGCCCATCAGCTGATAACTCTACTGTTAAGGAGACAGTCATGGCTGTGATGTACACTGTGGTGACGCCCATGCTAAACCCCTTCATCTACAGCCTGAGGAACAGAGACATGAAGGGAGCCCTGCGAAGAGTCTTTTTCAAAAATAAAACTTCCTCTTCTGTATGATGGTAAAGCTTAGTATTTTAGCATAATTTTATTCAGTAGACATATTCATATTAATATTGAGATATTAATCCACACTTTTTTTAGTACTTATTTTCTTTGAAAAAAGTTACATTCTGAACATTTTGTACAATATGTAAAAAGATAAAAGGGACATTTGTAGTTAAACTCAGGCGATGTCAGTGACCTCTTAGCAAAGCCTTCCTCTTTCTTATCCCAGGTGATTCTGAAGAATCATTTAAAAACTTGGAACTGGTCTATGTGTCTCTAGTTATTAAAGAAGTAATTTATCATGTGTGTGGTTTTCTCAACCAAATCTCTGCTTTAAAAATATTTGCTCTCCAAAGTCAACATTGACTAGGTTTCAAACTTCTCACTCTCTTGATTATGTCTAATGAACTGGACTATTTTTTGTTATATACATATTCTTAACTTACCTGCTCCTCAGCAAGTGTTCACGATATTCCGCCTCTCAGCCTTTAATCATGTGATTTACTTTCATGTCTACATTGCCCTTTTAAATTTTTTTATCATATTTTATTGTTATTCTATTACAGTTGTCCCAATTTTTCTCCCATGCCCTTCTCTGCCCATCCCAGGCCCTGACCCCACAATTAATTACCATACTGTTGTCCATGTCCATGAATCATTCATGCGTATTCTTTTTCTAGTCCCTTCCTCTTCTTTCTACCATTATTCCCCTCCCCTCTGGTCACTGTCAGTCTCTCCCATGTTCCCATGCCTGTGGTTCTATTTTGTTTGTTAGTTCATTATGTTCCTTAGATTCCTCTTACAGGTGAGACCATGTGGTATTTTGTCTTTCACCAACTGGCTTATTTCATTAGCATAATATTCTCCAGTTCTATTCATGCTGTTGCAAAAAGTAAGAGTTAATTCTTTGTTTCTGCTGTGAAGTATTCCTTGTGTAAAAGTACCACAGTTTTTTGATCCACTCATTTGCCAATGGGCACTTAGGCCATCTCCAGTGCTTGGCTGTTGTATATAGCGGTGCTATGAACATAAAGGCGCATGAGTTCTTTTGAACTGGGGATTTGGGATTCTTAGAGGATATTCCCAACAGTGGAACTGCTGGGTCAAAAGGCAGTTCCATTTCTAGGTTTTTTTTTAGGAAATCCCATACTGTTTTCTACAGTGGCTGCACCAGCCTGCATTCCCACCAACTGTGCACTAGGCTTCCCTTTTCTCCACATCCTTGCCAGCACTTGTTGTTTGTGGACTTATTAATGATGGCCCTTATGAGAGGTGTGAGCTGACATCTCATTGTGGTTTTAATTTGCATCTCTCTCATGGCTAGTGATGTTGAGCATCTTTTCATATGTCTGTGGACCATCTCTATGTTCTTAAAAAGCTTCTGCATGGCTGAAGAAACAATCATCAGAATGAAAAAGGAACTGACTCTATGGAAGAACATGTTTGCCAATGATACATCGGACAAGCGTTGAATCTCCAAAATATGTGAAGGACTCATATGACTCCACATGAGAAAAACAAACAATCCAATAAAAAAAATGGGCAAGGACCTGAATACATTGTCTTTTTGACCTGACATAACATAACATAACATAACATAACATAACATAACATAACATAACAAACATAACATAACATAACATAAGTTAACATAAATGGACTTTCTATCTCTTTCGCTACTGTGGTTTAGTTTGTTTTCATGTGGGAGCTAACTCATATCTGGAATCCTAAACAGTCCTCCCTCAGGTACAGAGGAGGAAGCCAGAGTCAGGTTAACAGTTTCACTATTTAAGGCTGACTCATTCTTGCTTACTATTTTGAAATTTATCAACACACTTTATACCCATGGTCTTAATCCACTCCTGTGATGAATTCTACTTCTTTGTGGAACTTATCACCATTTTAAAGATTGAAAAATGTGGAGTATGACTTGCCAGGATCCTAGAGTCAGTCTATTTTTAGCTTATTTATTATCTCAGTGTTTTGAGTTTCTTCTTTTTTTCTTTCCGCTCACCTGAAAAATAAGGGGAGCAGGCATTCATTTTTCAATCTGAGCTCCACATATGGCACCATCTAGGCTTCCATCTTTGGTCCAGTTTTCCCTTATTTTCCTCTCTTAAATAATGACATCTGGACCCATATTTTAATCCTCTCATGCATTCTGCTTACCTCCATATCTTTATCTTCAGTCCAGATCTCTCTCCATTTCATAATTTTAATTTTTATCTTCATAGTAGACCTCTCCTCTTCCAATGCTCCTTCAACACTTTAATCTTAATATGCTAAAAAGAACTCTTAGTATTTCCTTCAAGTTTCATCTTACTTTTATATTAAATTTTTAGCTTTATTGAGGTAAAATTGATAAAGAGTGCACAAATTTAATTATACATCTTAATGAATTTGCACATATCATGCACCCATAATGTATCACCACAACCAAGGTATTAAGCATATATATCACCTCCAAAGATCTGCTTGTATACTTTTGGAGTCTTTAAAAAATATTTCAACAAATGCTTTATATGAGGTCTATCCTTTTAACATATTTTACAGTGCACAGTAACATGATATCAGCAATAGGTAATAGGTACTGTATTGAATAGCAGATCTGGAGAAGTTACTCATCTTACAAACAGAAATTTCATATTTTACCTATTATAAATAATTCTAATTTTCCCTTATTTTAGCCCTGACAACCATCATTCTATTCTCTCCTTTTTGAGTCTGATTAATTTAGATACCTCATTGTTGGAATCACGCAATATCTGTCTTCTGTAACTGGGTTGTTTCACTTAACATGATGTCTTCAAACTTCATTCATGTAGTCACAAATATCAAGACTTTTTTTCTGAAGGCTGGATAATATTGCACTTACTGCATGTGCCACATTTTCTTTATTAGTTCACCTATTAATGGACATTTGGGTTGTTTCAGAATCTTGGCTATTGTGAACTTGGGAATGCAGATATCTCTTTGAGATAATGATTTAATTTTGTTTGGTTATGTACTCATCCCAGAATTGGGATTACTGGACTATATGGTAGTTTTGTTTTTATTTTTTGAGGAACCTCCCTATTGTTTCCCATAGTGGCTGCAGCATTCTGCATTCCCATCAACAGTGTGTAAGTGTTTGCTTTCTCCCAATGTTCTCCAACACTCATCTTTAAAAAATAACACCCATCGATCCTGCATGACTGGGTGGCTCAGTTGGTTGAAGCATCATCCCATACACCAAAAGGTTGTGGGTTGGATTCCCTGTCAGGGCGCATACCTAGGTTTCATGTTTAATCCCTGGGTAGAGCATGTATGGGAGGCAGCTGATTGATATTTCTCTCTCTCTCTCAAATCAATAAACATATCCTCAGGTGTGGTTTAAAAAATAAAATGAAATGAAATAATAAAGTAAAATAAAATGAAATGAAATAGCATTCACACATCCTAACAGGTGTAAGGTTGGTTATACATCATTGTGGTTTTGATTTGCGCATCCCTGATAGTTGATAGTGTTTAGCACCTTTTTCATATATATGGGGGTTTTATGTATGTCTTCTTTTGTGAAAAATCTAGTTAAGTACTTTTCTCTTTTTTAAGTCAGATAATTTACTTTTATTATTATTATTTGCTATTGGGTTGCAGGAGAATTTCATATATTTTGAACATTAACTCCTTCTTCTTCAGCTAGAGAGTGTGAAGATATTTTTTACCATTCTGCAGGATGCCTTTTTATTCTATTGATTTTTTTTTTTTTTTGCTGTGCAGAAACTAGTAAGTTTGATGTAGCATCATAAAATACTTAGAAATAAACTAAACTAAGATGTTAAAGACTTGTATTATGAAAACTATCATATATAGCTGAAGAAATTTGAAGCAGACATAAGTAAATGGAATGACATCACATGTTTGTGGGTTGGGAGAATTTATATCATAAAATGACCGCATTCTCAAAGTGATGTATAGATTCACTGCAATCCTTATCAAAACCCAAAATACAGTTTAACAGCAATAGAAAAAAATTCTAAAATTCATGTGGAACCACAAGAGACCCCACAAAACCAAAGGCCTCTTGAGGAAGAAAACAGCCAGAGGCACCACACTTCCTGATTTCCAACTACAGGGAAGGGCAAAAGCAGATTTACTGGTTTTATTAGGTATGGAAGAGAGTACAACAATTAATAAATAATAATAGAAGAATAAACTCTGTGTTTCAAATGCTTCTGTAAACCTCCTTTTATTCACTCTGTATAATACAAAGCTACAGTTAAAAACTGTAAGGTACTGGCATATAGATGGACATATAGACAGTGGAACAGAAGAGAGAACTCAGAAATACATACACATATATGTGATCAACTCATCTTTGACAAGGGTGCCAAGACCATCCAGTGGTGAAAGGAAAGTCTTTTCAACAAATGGTGCCGGGAAAACTGGGTATCTAAGTGAAAAAGAATGAAACTGCTTCCTCCTCTTTCACCATACACAAAAATCAACTCAAAATAGATTAAATACTTAAAGGTAAAACCTGAAACTATAAAACTCTTTGAAGGAAACATAGGGAGGAAACTTTTTTTAATTAAATTTATTGCGGCGATGTTGGTTAAAAAAATATATAGCTTTCAAGTATACAATTCTATGACACAACATCCATATATTGCATTGTGTGCCCAGCATATCGGTAGATGCAGAAAGAACCTTTGACAAAAAACTTAACATTCATTTAATCAATTTGTGATTAAAATCCTTGCCAAACTGGCAACAGAAAGAAACTTCCTCAAGCTGATGGGAGAGCAACTTTTGAAAGACTGGATAGAAAGAATCAAGATGGCGGAGGAGTGGAAGTCACACTGACTTCCTTCCAGGAGCAACCTGGAATTACAACTAAATTGTGGAGAAAGCACCTGGAATAAAAAACTGAAAATAGGGAGAGAGGAGCCTTGTAACCTCAGACAGACAAGAGAATTGGCTTTAGCACAACCTAACTGGTAAGGAGTGCGGTAGACTCAAGAAGGCGGGCA